TGTGGACTCCTCTGTGGGTTCCCTGGATGAGCCTTACTCACGTGGGTTATTGTTGTCATCCCCTGTCATTGATGATTTGCCAAACTCACTAAGATCACCATCCTCCTGATCCTCATCCAAATCATCTTCCATAATTAATAATGTATCAATGTACTCCATGCTACCAATGCCTCTCCGCAAACATCGAATGGCAAGCTTTCGCACCAATGCTTCGTCCAATCTACCAATAAAATCCTGTAAATGATTAAAGTGTTTATGAAATTAAATTTTGCCCCTATTTTTAATTCCATCACTTCAGTTTATTCATATCATTCCCAAATTACCAGGTATTTATCGAAGCACCTCTGAGATATTAGACTTTCTCCTATTTGCTGCCATCTCAAACGCAACCAGTGATATCATAATTAACAAATATAAAACATTTCCAGTGTTGATATACAGTTACATCAACACGAGTGGAAATTGGGAAAATGAGAAATTGTTGAGTTTTCACAATTTCCACGAGTGTTGATATAACCATATATCAATACGAAAAAATGTTTTATATTTGTTTATAATGGTGATTGTTAGAAAGTATGCTTCAAAATAAGGTTTCAGTTTTATACTAACCCTAACCCTAACCTAACACCACCCCAAACTAACCCTAACTTATTTTAAAAATTGATATAAAAACGGAAACCTTATTTTGAAGTATACTATCTAGCAATTGCCATTTTAAAATATAGCACAAAGAAATGTAAAGAAAGAAATGTAAAGAAAGAAATTTTCCGACGTTTCCGTGTTGACATATATCAGCACAGCTCTTAGCCAATCAGAGTTCAGAATTTACAAATGCTACCGGGTGTCCCCAAAAAAATAACTCTGAAGCAAGTGAAGCTATTACACTCAAATATATTTTATTAGATAGATGAAGGGCTAACTTAGATTTTGATATATTACAGTTGTATATTTATAAAAAACTGAGATATTAATGTTAAAATTTGATAGTATATTTCTGGATGTGTCAAAAATTTGCGAAAAACGGCTTATCAACCAGTTTAATTTGTAAACTAATATTTGATGTAACCAGTTTAATTCATTCAATACACGTATAGACAAGCTGTTGTGATTGCAAGAGTTCATGCAGTACTAAACGAAAGGCAAGTGGCTTAGCAAGGAAGGCTTATCAAATATTAACCAAGTGCTGCTCAACTTAAAGATGTATTATTATGAGTAAATTGGTGAAACTTCATAAAATGTTTTAGTACTTCAAACACTCATTAATAATTCATAAGCTTATTGGCAAATCATGTCAACTATAATATGTCACGTGCAGTGGCTTTAAACCTGATAAAACACTCCTAATTAGTATTCTTTATATAAGGAATACTGAATAAGGCAGTATCTATTGTTGTCGTGTCCTCATTAGTATTCTTTATATAAAGAATACTAATAAGGCGGTATATCTATTGCATTTGTATAGTCGTGTTTGAAGCCGTTTAATAAACTCGCAGGTCGTGTTTTATTAGGTCTAAAGCCAGGTCGTGTCGTATTAGGTTGTGTCTTTAAACCTAATAAAACACTCCTGCTCGTTTATTAAACAGTACTTAAACCATATTCATCCTATTCAAACTTAGAAACAGTCAACTTTGTTTTGTTCATTTGAGACTACTCAAAATATGAATAGGCCGTTCAAGAAAATTTATTACTCCTTAACCTGTTTTTGGGTATTTAAAAAATCGATCAAAAACATGCATAAATTCAAATGTTAGTATCTCAGTAAATAATGTGCGAAAATTTACATCTAATATATCAAAATCTAAGAAAGCATTTCCTGTGTTTAATGAAAGTTATTTGATTCTAATTGCTTCACTCGCTTTGAAATTATTAATAATCAAACCGGAGTACTTTTTTTTTGGGACACCCGGTATAATATGAATAAACTGTAACTGCCATTCTTTCTTATTTTATAAATTTATATAGTTATATAAGATAACAGAGTAAAATAATAAAGTAGGGTGCAATGCGACTCAATGGGTTAACTAGACAAATGGAAAAAAAACTATAAACTTTTCTTACTTCTGTTATTCTGTATAATTGCTATGTAAAGGCCAAAGATGCCTAATTCTTGCTCTGCTTACAAATGTAAAGAAAGATACAAAAAGGAGGAAAAAGAGAATGCGGAAGTTCAGCAGTCGTTTTTCAGGTGAGTCGGAAAGTCAAAACAATGGTTTCCACTTTAGCGCTTCCGGCGCTTATTTTCTGCATAACTTAATACTACATAAGCAATTGCAGAAACAAGTTTACATTTAAAGGATATTTTTAATAGTATCAATGTTTTATGGAGTTTTTTTTTACGAATAAACATTCTTCATATTTTTTACTTACTGTTATAGTCACTGTCATACATAGAAATACATATAATAGTTGGCAGTGAACGATACAGCAAAGATTGAAGTATTGAACTATTTGGCTATAATATGTTATCGGTTCTGTATGTTTAAAACAGAATGGTTTCTTTGTTTATAATTTTTAACAGATTTCCTTGTCATAATGAAGAACTCTTGAGCGAATGGGTTGCAGCTGTTGGGAGAAACAATTGGTATCCATCAAAAACATCAGTTCTCTGCAGAAACCATTTCCTTGAACCAATTCCAGCACAAAAACGGCCGTTTGCTAGTGAAAGCGACATCAATATTATAGCTCCTTCGGCTTCACTGGCATCATTTTTTTATTCAAGTGGAGAGGTCCCTTCGTGTAAAGTTTTCAAGCCTGCCATGTTGCCCTCCACAAAAATAAAAAAATTACAGCTACTTGTGAAGAAAAAGAACAAAAAAATTAAGCAACTCCAACGAAAATAAAATAAAAAATCTCATCAATAATTCATAATTGTAAGTGCAAAGTTTAATATTTGACACAAAAGATACAGTTTATTTAATTCCTACCTTTGCAATCATTAGGCAATGCTCGCCAATTTTCCTTCCCAATACTTCTCTTACCCACCCGTTCACAAAGTTTTGATAGCAATCCAAATTTTTATAATTTTTTAACTGCTCTTGGCTGTACGGGCTTTGCGAAAGCAGTAGGTACATACCTACATCCGTATAAGTGACCAAAGGCCAAATATTAATGTTGTCTTCCCACAGACTTTTTGGTATTTCGGGTCTTGTCCATTCGAGTAAGCGAATTTCACTACATATACCATTCCTTACTTTGTGTACACTGAATTGTCCCCGAGCTGACGGCACGAAGCGCTGTGCGAGGGTACTAATTCCCCCAGGCTATTTACACCCGGGGAAAGGAAAGCATTAGCCAAGTGTAAAGTTAATCAATGATCTCAAAAATATGGCTGTTAGCCAGGAGTGGGATAAGCAAGATTTCAATTTTCAAAAGCACATATTTGGAAAATCACGTTTCACACAAGCAATTTGTGTTTGAGGTGAGAAGAGTTGATTTACTGTGGAAAATCGTGGAATATAGGGCAAGTTTGCTTTGAATGTTTAATGTTTATGAATTTTGTTGCTTTAATTTATTGCGTAAAACATGCACTGCTTTCCTTTTCAATGAAGCTGTAATAAAGTCTGCTAAATTACCCTGTTTAATTTAAGAATAAAAGGTAAAATGTAAAGGAGCGCAAATTCATTTGAAAACCAAACTGAAATTACTCATTTTGTTAGAACTTATTTTGTTTTATAAACTATATAAGAACCCGTACAGTTTTATATCGGAAAAAGTTTAATATTAAAATTAACATTTCGAAACATTTTACGAAGCGATTCACGTTAAATTTTACATTAAATCAAAGCTTACAAAATGCAGAACAACATACCTACAGTACATATTTCGGAAATTCATTGTTATATAGTTAAAAGCAATAATCTTTCAACTATTTTTAGCATGTTGTACAAAAAATATAATAAAAATTAAATTTATCGTGTTGCCATGGCAACACTGACGTAAATGCGACCCTGCGTTCAGTCACAGGTTCAGTGTTAATCAATTACTAATACTTCATCTTAAATCAATGTTTGGAAAATACATGCGAGGGGTTGCTGCATGCATGTATTTCTAGAATTGAAATATCCCAGCAGAAAACCTTTGTTTTTGTTTTTGGTAGCCATATTGGCCTTTGAACAATTGCATAGCAACTGTTGTTAGATAGCATCTGGAGGACACTCTAAGGATTTGTGATGTCAGTGCAAAGGGTCTATACTACAGACATTCTTTCTGCATATCACTGTAAGATAATGTAAATGAGAAAGTATCAGGGGCGGAGCACATGTTGAATTAATACAGAATGAGGTGTATATAAATTGAGAAAGTACAGTTATTAAAGTTTATTGCAAACACTTTCCAGTGCTCCAGTGTGAAAATTGAGGCGAATACAAAACATAGTCGCATGTTCCAATCAGATCTTTAAAGACATTAATCCACCAGTTGCTCCGGTTTTTATGCAAAAACGACCACCAGCACTCAATATGTTGGTTGAAGGTGTATGTGCCACCAGCACTCAATATGTTGGTTGAAGGTCGATGTGCCTTTTATGCCAGCCTATTCGTCCTGCCCAGTACTCCTGAAGTAGGCCTGCATTGCTGACATGATAACATTTTCAGTACCATTATCTCTCCTAAGTAGTGTTGGACATCCACCATGTGTACTTATTCTCGAGTGCATTAATGCCTGGCTCCAATTCCGTAAGGAATGGGAAGATAGAAAAAATCTATAAGAATATTGCAACAATGAAGGTAATTTCCCATGGAAAGGTGATCCACTTACACTAAAAGTCTTTCGTAGATGGCATAATCAAATGTCTCATGATGGAAAATGGTTGTTGCCCTGCGAGGAAGAAAAATGTTCAAATGCACCAAATTTACTACCTTGAAATGGTTTGGCAAGAAGAAAAATTGGTTATCATGAAAGATAATGAAGAAAAGTTTCTACAAAACGCACTGGAGAAACGAAAGGCGTTGAAAATCAACATGAAACAACAAAGCATATGGTCGATCATTGAGTCGCAACAAAATTTGCAACAAAGCGATACAAATCTCCCTGCTTCAGCTGTATCGCCTGTATGGAGAAAATTGTTCGGATTATGAACATCATATTGCAAATATATTGACATTCCTAGCTGGAAAAAAACTCTAAACAGCAAGAGGATTCCCAGCAAAACATATCAATATTAGCAAAATATGAAAATACAATATCAGCCTTGTCGGAACAAAACATTAAAATGGAGGTCAAATTGACTCATTAAAATCGGCTGCCACTGAACTACATTGCGAAAATAAGAGCATAAAATATGTTCTCGACAAGAAACAAAGTGAGTGGACAGAGGTGAAAGAAACAAAGTCCAAGAAACAAATCAAAATAACATCATCTACCAGCACAGACACAAGAACATTGATAAATAATCCCTATGCCATGCTTCAAGTAGAAGAAGTGTGACATGGAAGAATTAATTAGCAGTTCCAGTATAAATGACAACAACACTCTAAATCAAAATTATAGTGAAGTTGCAAAAAGAAAGAGTGGTCAGACAAAAGATCTCCAAATCAGTTCTGGATTAAAGGCGACAGCTGACAGTGTACCAAACAAAGTCAAGAAGCTCAACCATGAGAAAACATTCTTAGTGATAGGAGATCCCATGGTCAAGAATATTGATGGAGGCAAAATTGGAAGAGGTGTTCGAAGTAAAGCAATCTCACACTTGTATAGTAGAACCACAGTGAACAGCATGCCAAGAAATTTGAAAACCACTAATCAGAACAATTAGAGTTCAGCACCGTCATCATCGTTGTTGGTACAAATGACCTGGTACGTGATGAACCCAAGAAGGCAGCAGCCAACCAGGAAAACCTCATGAACAAAGTCATGGTCCACACCGAGAAGATTGCAATTTCAGGTACAATCAAGAAGTATGATGGTAAGCTAAACAACAACATATAAAATATACTCTTTTGTAGTTTCCTAGAAGAAAGACTCCTTCAAAGAAAGTCACCAGTGAAAAAATATATTGGACCTTTGAGGAAAATCAAGCTTTGATCGATTTCATATCTATTGCCAGAACAGATCCAAAGTATGGAGAAATGTTGTCTAGTGTTGAGTGGCCAGGATTTAAGGGAAAAAACAGTTTCTGGGGATCCATAATAAAATAACATAAAATTTACAGTATTTTAGTAATCTATGTTACTGTTATAGTTGCAGGGATCCATAATAAAATAAATAGTATGTAGCAATCCATAATAAAATAATAACAATTTACCATATTCTAGTAATCTACATCACTGTTATAATTGTTTCTCAGATCATCTCTGTCACATGGTCCACTTTTCTCAATAGTAATGTATTTTCCCTGGGGGCATATGTTCTCTTATTAAACTATTGTATCCCGAATATCTCACTTAGGCTATATGCCGATGATACTACTAGTTATGCCGCTGACGTTTCACCAACCGTACTCGAATTTATTATCAACGATGATTTGAAGATATTGTCCAGCTGGTTTAAAGCCAACTTACTGAATGTTAACAATTCAAAGACCCAGGCTTTCTCTGTTGGTGCATGTAAATATGAACTTCATATGAACGACACCAGTATTGAGATGAATAATGACATTAGAATTCTGGGAGTAACCCTAGATAGTAACCTTAACCTCAAAAAGGCCTCAGCTCGTTTTTACCTACTGAAAAATTAAGTATATTATACAAAACCTTTATCTTACCACACTTGGATTACTGTGATCCTCTGCTACTGGGAATAGGAAAAGTTCAAAGTTACCGACTAGACAATGCTAATTATTATCTACTTAGATCAGTTCTGGGCTACAGGAAATCTGTTCCTTATGAACAATTATCAAGTATTATCAATTTGTCCAATTTAAAGCAGAGACGAATCTGCCAGTCACTTGAGTTACTTTATAAATGCTTATTTTGGAATGGCCCCTCATGTATCTGAGATCTCTTCCACTCTAGGAAGACTAAGTATAGTCTGAGAGGTGATGGGTATATCCTCGCTCTTCCTAAATTTAATCCACAGTGGAAGAAATCGTTCAGTTATGCCGCTGCTATGTATTGGAATGAACTTCCTGTAATAGTTCATCAGTCGGCAGATTTTAATAGTGTAAGAAGTAACTTAAGGAACATTGTTTTTTTTAGCTTTTTTGTAATTAACCTCATTCTTATACATTATTTCTTGATAACCTATTTGACATGTAAATAGTTATATAATTACTATAGTTGCACTTTCGTATTTTGAACGAGCTTTATGCTCCTGGACGTAACATGTCTAAATAAATCATTCATTCATTCACTCATTAAGCTCCAGCTCTTTCCCCTTAATGAGTAAAATCATCTGGCATTAGACAGAGTAAAATCATCTGGCGTTAAACAGTACTCAAAACTCAAATGAGAATGCTGATATGGTATCTTATAAACATGTCACAATTTTGTATAATATAAATATTTTGTTCAACAATACTTTCTTAACTTGAATGCCTGTAAATATCCACAGTTACTATCAAAATAATAATATTGTAATACAATGTTTAATTAAACACTATTTGTCCACAAGTATTTTTACTTAATACTAATTTATTTAACACTAAGGGAGCAGTAATTAATGCTGTGGGGTGGGCCGGAAGATATTGGGGGGGGGCACCACAAATGTATTAACCGCTTAGGGGGGCTACCAAAAATATCAAAGAAAGGTAGGGGGCACCAAAAATAATGTACAATAATCATAAAACATTTAATCACCGAGCCTGAGGCAACTAATTGTTTAGTATTTTTACACAACCTTTTGTGTTTTTTGAGACTGCATTTACTTTAATTTCGCTTATTTCTTTGTCAATAAACTTC